CCCCAAAACCCCAAAACCCCAAAACCCCAAAACCCCATACATACCCCCAAACTGAGGTTCCTTTTAATAAGTCAAAGATTACAAACTTATATTAATATTTTAAACCCAATTAAAAATGGGCATCCGTTCCAACCTTTGGAGACTCATTCTTCTATGAAGTCTGTTCTTCTGAGTCCTGATCAAGTGCCAGACCTGAGGCCTTGGAGAATTTGAAGAGTACGGCCACTGATTCCAGTGCCATGCCTCTTGCAAGCAGTGAGAGGGCTTCGGACAATGAACCAGCTGTAAAGAAGGATTCGTGGTTAATGGTACTTATCCTTTTCTATTTGAATACTTCATACCATTATTTTTAAGAAAGAAATTAGGAAACTTTTCATTCAGATTCTATTAGTTTCTCAGATGTTAAAGCTAACTTTAGTAATTTAATTTTCTCCTACTACTTAGTCCTCGCGGAATATGTTATATGGTCTCATACCAACTAAGATCCAAGGAGGCTAAAAAGTAATTTGAGAACCACAAATTATTTGAGAAGCCTCTCTTCGTTCCTACTCCTTTTCATATTGAATTCTAGATCTGAGCTAGAGTTTCGTATAAATTTTGAAAACTTCATAGGACTTAGTTATTTGAAACCTAATAAATAAATCAGCGTCAAATATTATTCTTGGAATTAAAATACTCTATTAACACTGATTTAGAAACAACAGGCTTGTGTGACTACAAAGATTGTCCAGATAGGCAGTTTTACTCTATTCCACTCGAAAAATGAGTAGACTGTGAAAATAGCTGTACGGCATATTTTATTTTTGATACATTTTTAACCAAAATTTAGGTAACCAAGCCTGAGCATATCAGAGCCATTGCTTTGAGTGACCAACTGGTCAGGTGTTGGACTTAGATACTGTACAATGTGTTACAGAATGTGATTCAGGTATTTTGAGGGTTTAGGATTAATTGATTTTTCATTCTGACCACTTTTAGAAGGAGATAGCAGCGCTCAAGTGCTCATTCAAGATCCACAGATGGGTAATATCCCAGTCTGTAGGAGCTTTGATTACTATGTGAATATCAATAGTGAGAGTCCTGTTGAATTAGGAACTAAGAGTCATCCTTATAAGCATATAGACTCTGCTCTTGTTGAAACTATGAATTTTCACAGTCATAGTGAGAGAAATATCACTATTTATGTTATGGAAGGGACTACAGTGTTCATCAATACGGTTACTTATTTCGTGAACATCACGCATGTGCAAATTGAAGCTTATAACGATAACGGAAATACTCTTGGGCTTGCTAGAATGGTCGGAATCCAGGACAGTTACAAAGTCATTGGTGCAGCATTTCCAACAAAGTTCAATGCTCTAAGTAAATATCTTTTTTAATTTTAGGTGACAAAACTTTCAAGACAGGTGAAATGCTATTTGACAATAATGGCTTTGACTCCAATGATAAATTAGGACTTCTTGTTCAGAATGCCTTGTTCAAACCCTTCCATGCAGGCTTGATTGTTAAGAACTTTCGAGTGGTAACTGATTATGAAGGCCAGACACTTTCTCATATGATTTTTGAGCCATACAGAGTTGACAAAAGAGTTTTAGGGATGATCAATTGTGACCTAAGAATACATGGATCATTTCTGAGAGCATTCACTACTGTCTTCAATTGGCACATGGAAAACATTGTTCTTGAAACACAATACTTATACAGATTTAGCGTGATCGGTCTAAATTGAGGTCCTGATGGAACAGATATGGGAACAGGAAGTTATTTTAAAAATTTTACTGCAATTAATTCTGGAGGAAAACCTTCATACCTCCATGGAGCACTTCCGCTCTTCAGACATCATATCTCTAATAATGCTCACTACGAGGATATTTATATAGATACTTATATTGGATATTTTCCAAAGACAGGACAACTAGTGTTCTACTATGATCCAATCAACTGATTTATCACTAATTCAAATACTTGGAATTTTACTAATGTCCACATTACTTCTTCAAGACATGAAGAAGGGAAGAATATTAAATTTATAAGCACAAGCAACTTGGTTTTCGCTCAGTCAGCTCCAGTTGATGGTACCTTGCATATACATTGTAATAATATCACATTTTCTAATGACAGAAACGAATTCATTGGACTGTTTGTCAGCTGGTCTACCATAGATACGATCTATCATGTTAATGGACTTCATTTCAAGAATACCGATGGGTTTTTATTGAATATGAGAGCACTTATAGAGGTTGACTATAAGAATGTTACTTTTGAGAATGTCACTTCTGACTTGCCCTATATGGCGTATCATAATTTAGTCAAGAGAGTCGAGTTTGATGGTCTCACAATTGATGGTCTGATTGATCCTGGGTCTTATCAGGCAGCTCTTTTTCATAATAATGTCTTCAACGTGCTAAGTTTTGTACTTAAAAATTTTGAAGTCAGGAACTCTCAAATTTTGAATAGGAAAGCTATCTTTTTTACAACTGGCAAATCAGACAGTACTTATGTTGTAACCAATGCTAAATTTTACGATACTATAATTGGTGGAGATACTGCTCTTCTTAGCTATGGAATCTTCAGCCAAGTAAATATCACTAATGTCCATGTGCTTAGAACTCATCCTTTGCAACAAGGAGAACATTTTACTATCAAGAGTGATTATACAGGAGGAGGATTGGCTCCAAGTAGCGTTCAAATATTCAAAGATATAATTATAGAGCAATCTTCAGTCTCAGTACTTGTGGTTTCAAAGCCTGATGCTGCAACCAATGTAACTCAATCATTAAGCATCACAAACATCACTTATAAAGACTTAGAAACAGACTTAGCTTTGGAGCTAATCAAGATTTATCGGATGTCAACTCTTGGGTCTTATTCAATCTCAATCCAAGATGTTGTATTCTCAAATCTCACTTTTAAACTAAGTTCTAAGTTGATGTATTTCCAGCAACAATTATTGACCTCTGCTTTAGTGGCAAATGTGAGTATCTCTAACACTGTAAATGCTGGGATAACTGTAGAGGCGTATGCCACAAATGAATTCTATAACAGCACCCACGTAACCTTCTCGAACATTAAAGCCACCAACATAGATGGCAGGGCAAGATCACTGGTCAACATCTATAAAGGAGCTGAAATAGAAATTTTAAATTCAGATTTCTCTTTTATTGGGAATTCAGCAAAAGGAGCTGTGCTTTCGGCTGGTGCAGAGAAAGCAATAGCTGTTCTTAGGAATTGTACCTTTTGGAATAATACAGCTGTTGAAGGAGCAGTTTTTGAAAGTGAATCTCTGAGTAGAGTCAAGTGTTATAACTGCACCTTCTTTAACAACTTTGCTATCTCTGGAGGAGTCTTGAAGGCTAGTGCTGATGGAATTTTTGAGCTGTACAACTCCACTATTTACAATAATTTTGCTCTTGCAGGTGCTGTCTCAGAATTGTTCTCATCACAAATTGAGAGCATAGTCAGTGATTGTAACATTACCTCTAATTTTGGATTAACTGAGCAAGAGATTAAGGAGAATATACTGCCTCAAGGGTATATTTACCAGTCTTTTCGAGATTATTTAGCAGCAAATCAGTATCTTTATGAGTCAGAGACCTCTTTCTCCTGATTTAAAATGATTATGGCAAAAATTTCTATCAGCAATACTAATTTTATTCAGCAAAAATATGTTCTACACGCTACTGGATCAAGAATTTCCATTAAAAGTTCTGTCTTTAAAGACATCACTCTTGTCTCTAACCTATTGAGTATCAGTGAATCAGATGTAGAAATGAGTAACACTATTTTCATGAACCTAACATGCAATGATAACTCTCAACAACTGATACTTTTTGTGAAGGCGTTTGCTGAAATAGACCAACTTGACTACTCAAATTCGAATTGAAAGCTAATAAATTCTGGCTTATCTCAAGTTTATCTTATGGTATGTATCTAACTCATCAGAGATTACTCAGATAACCTTTAAATATAGAATTCGAACATCAAGAACATCTCAGTGGTAAACAACAACTTGATATCTCTATTGAATTCAAAAAGCACAGATCTCAACAACGAAAAAGACTCAGTTGAGACTTCGATCATTAGCTCAAGCTTCTTCAATATCTCTACTACTTCAGGCCCGATGATTTATATGAAGGATTGTGGCATCCAAAGAATATTTAATAGCACGTTTATAAAGACAAATACACAAGCCTTACGTTTATTAAATACCAATGTTAGCACAATTTCTGCCTGTGATTTTATTGAGAATAAGGAATGTATCAATGCTATTCGAACAAACCTAGGGGTTATTGATCAATGCAAATTTGAACTTTGTGGGGACCTCAATGTGAAGTTTGGAGGAGCAGTTAATCTTGAAGCAAGTGAGTCTAAAATCCTTAGAAGTAACTTTAGTCAAAATCAGGCTGAATCTGGTGCTGCCATCAGTATCCAATGTAGTTTCGGCCAGACCTGAGTTAATGAATTCCAGGATTTAGAGTTTGTGAACAACACTGCTGCAGAGGTAGGAGCAGGAATTTACTACAATATGCACAGGCCTGTGATGCAAAGTATAAGCAATACTGGAAATGTTGCAAAATATGGTCCTGATGTGGCAAGCTATCCAGTCAGAATTGTGCAGAGAGGCACTAATAGAAACAAGGTGCTGCTTGACAATGTGGCTAGTGGACTCCAATATAAGGAAAAACTAGAGTTTGACTTGGTAGACTACGATGGCCAGATTATGAATTTGGAAAGCAGTAATACAATCAAGATCCTTATTGAAGATTCCAGAATTTCTATTAAAGGCACTGATTTTGGCAAACTAGTGAATGGGCAGACAGAACTTGCAAACTTAATCTTTATTGGAGAAGTTGGACTACAGAATGTGAAATACATGTTGACTTCAAAAGCTATCGACCAGAGAATTTTAAATGAAGTTTTGGATAATGAGGATGGAACGTACGACAACTATATAGAAGTTTCTTTTAGGTAAGTTTGGCTAGTTATCCATAGATATTGTAACTCAGGCGAAATACAGACTGAAAATAAGCAATGAGAAGAATGAAATCCCAGCACTTATTCATTCGGATGGAATTCAACAAGCTGTTTACCTTGAATGGATTTTGTATCATGCAGCGGAGAAGATCAAATTATTGTTGATAAAGGTTACTGGAGGAAAACAGCTAACTCATCAACCATTATTGAGTGACCTAACGAACAAGCATGAGAGGGAGGATATCATCCAAACAATGTTGACCACCCTGTGAAGTGCTCAAAAGGATATAAAGGCATATTGTGCACTGAGTGAGACATAGTAGATGGTATAAAATATCAACCCTTAAGTAACTTCAGCTGCACTAAGTGTCCAGATCCATTGATGAATACAATCAGAGTGATACTAGTATCATTAATTGCATTTATGTTCTTGATGCTATTGATATATGTAAATCTAAGAAAAAAGAAAGAGAGTCAGTTATCGATTCTGTTTAGAATCTTGACAAATTACTTGCATTTGATCACAGCTTTCTTTACATTTGGATTTAATTTACCTAATAGCTTCAAGGGCTTGTTTTCATTGACAATTAGGGTATCTTCGCCAGACGAAAGCTTCTTATCATTTGATTGTTTTGTGAGAGATCATGAGATACAGTACTTTGCTCCATCTAACTCGCTATTCAAGATATTCTTGTATATCTTTTTCCCTGTTTTCTTGATTGCACTGGTAACTTTATTCCTTGTGTGCATCAAATTAGGCCACTGGATTATCCAAACAATAAAAAGTTCAGATTCTGAGGAACAGAGAAGAAGTTTATTTAACTTTAAAAGAGCAATTGTGGTTTCCATGATCTGTATTATTTTCCTCTTCCATCCGACTCTCACTTTGAAAGCTCTATCTTTGTTCCTATGTACCGAGGTAGACAAGGATGATTACAGGATGACTCATCATATGGAATACAGTTGTTACTCTAAAGACCATATTGCATGGATAGCTTTCGAGGCCATTCCAACTCTCCTAATCTGGGTGATAGGGCTCCCTTTGATTGCTCTATGGGTGCTCATTAAGTACAGAAAAAATCTGAATGAAATGAAGATACAAAGCTACTTTCTAATACTATACCAAGGGTTCAGGCCGGAGTGATTCTATTGGGAGTTCTTGAACTTCTTCAAGAAATTTCTGTTGCTATCAATCCACTCATTACTAAACACTTTCTCAGTGAATTATCAGATAGCTCTGTCTATCGGTAAGTCAAACTCTTTTAATGCTCTATAGTTTGTTTGGTAGGATTTTTCTACTTCCAGAAGTACATGCAACCGTTCAAAACTAAGGATAATAACCAAATAGACTTGCTAGCATTATCAACTGGCATCGTAACTATCTACTCTGGCTTAATTTTCGCAGTCGGTCAGGACATCCACGAAGGATTCGAACTGACGGCCTTGACCTTAATAACTGTTTTTAACGGATATTTCTTGCTTAACTGGGTTTATTTCCTGATGGTAGCGCTAGAATGGAAGAATCAGAAGTTCATCTACCTTGTCAATACTCTTGGTGGAATCTTGTGCAAGGCAAAAATAGATATTCCAATAATGAAATCTAAAAAAAATAAAGTGAACAATAAGAAGTCACAGAATAAAAAACGCAAAGGCAAATTGAAGGTTTATAAGAAGAGAGTATATCCAAAGAGGTAACAATAAGCTAATTGTTTAGGAGGAAGAAGGGGAGAACTTGGACAAAAACAGATTTGAAAAATAACAATAAGAAAAAATTAGGTGAGATATAGGTCTTGATTTATTAGAGACAATATTAGCCTTTGTAAGGTTTTTATTAATTTCTGCCATTTTGACCTCCATCTTCAAAGTATTATGAAGTCCTTGGTATCTCCTTATTATTATTTTATGTTTCTCATTTTGATATTTATCCAAATCTAACTAATTTATAGTAATCATTGAAGAAGAGAAATCTTATGAGGATTAAATTTATTTAATTTAAATCCTATCAATCTTGAAAGCACTCTCGGGGTTTTGGGGTTTTGGGGTTTTGGGGTTTTGGGG